CATTTATATTGCAAATGTCGTAAAGTTAGAGGGGAAACAGTGCGTGTCTATGGTGAAAGATTTCCTGATTGTATCAAATCTTCATTACCAATGTTGTCACATATCGTAAAAAAGTTTCAAGGAACGGAAAGTGTGATAAACAAAACACCCAATCGAGTTAAATGAGACTATTCGTCTTGAAAAGCTCTATTAGAATGGAATAAAAAGTTAGGTCATCCTATTTAAAAAAAAACATGTTTGACTTTGGTATGTCCTCTACGTCTCCATCTATAAAAGAATTATTGACATCATTTAATGTGTCCCTCGAAATCAAACAACATTCGTCTGACACTTTCTTTTCTATTGTCAAAAACATGCGAGTTATTCGGGTGTATCGTTTCAAATGCACCACCCTGTATGCACGTTTTCTTATATTATACATATAAACAGACGCTATAAATGCATAAAGAACCGCCGTCCACTGATTACGTTAGCCAAGAATTATTCGAGAAAATGCGGAACCCTCGGTTTCTGTCTAAAACAGATGACGCCGAAGATACTGAGCAGAACTTCCATTGCATTACCGAAACTGAGCCATAAAATCGAGAGGTGAAGGACATTGTTTATAGAGAAAGTAGTTCCGGAACCCTGATTATGTAAACTGCAGTTCGTGCGTAAAGTTTAATGCAGCTTTTACTGGGATAAACATGATCCGAAAGTAATTTCCATTCTCGCGATAAAACTCACCGGCTGCTCGGTTCTTTTTGTCGAAAGGCTCCTTGAAATCGTGCAACTAATAGCACTCTTTGCACGGACTCATTCTAAACACGCTGAGGTCGTTAATGGAGATTGGGAATACTTTCTCGAGATTAATATTGGTGGAGTAACAAATAAAAGAATACAGTGTACCCCGGGAGCAAAACGTTCACTGGAACGATCGAGCATTGCATGTAATTAAAGTGAAGACTAGTCGATTATAGTACGATTTTATAAACAGCAAATTATTAAGTTAGTGCAAAAGTAATCATAAATGATTTCGCTTCGTCTTTTCCTCGCGTGAATAATTTTGCTTAGAAATTTTAATTCATATTATTAATCAGTAATTTATTAATAATTAATTAATTAGTAATCTATAGACTGCGGGATTTTATAAGAAATCAGAATTGTTTGAGTTAGTTGTAAGAACTGTAAATTCGATGAAATTGCCTTTCTTTTAGTTAGTTAAAAATGAAGTAACTATACATATACTTAAATGTTTTCACAAATTTGTATTTTATCTATTTATTTTTGTCAGGAATGCACAAAATCCGAAGCCTAGTAATTATTATAATATGGATTCCTTGTTAAAAAATTGTCTAAGTTAGTTATAAGGAATACAAGTTAGATGAATGTTATGTAGTAATACTTTAAAATTCTTCTAATGTGTTTACAAATTTGTATTGGACCCATTCATTTTTGACAAAAATAAATAAAATCCGCAACCTGGTAATCAATTTATCTTAAAATAATATTTCTAAAATTGTTCAGTTTGGCTGATTGTTAGTGTTTCAAATTTGCTGTTTAAAATCGGCCATTATATTTGTACAAACCTAATATAATCTTCAACAAGGATTTTATGAAATTCCTCACTTCTCAATCTGTTCACTTTTTTAATTTGTTTATTGTAATCGTAACTGTACGAAGTATCGTTTTAATGATTTTTAAGACGACTCCCTAAAGAAATTTGTGAAATGAGATATTTGTATGAAAATCCGTACTTGTCAATTATTTGTATCGATTTCATCATTATTGCGAAGTACCAATAATGATAGGCATGCTTTATTCAAACTTATTCATTTATCAAACAAATAAAACGTTAACGTTACGATGCTTTAGAAATGTATAAATAGATGACGTAATACGATTGCGGATGACTAATTAGCGATGCACAGAGCGAATTGCAAGTACTGCATTCACGTTTTGAGTCATTAATAAATCCTGTACAAACGTGATGCATTTAGATTACAATGTCCTGCTCGGCCCAGATTAATGCCAATAATGGATACGCGTAGAAGTCCTTTGTGTATATAGAGGACTTTGACTTTTTGATACAGCAATCTTTTAAATAGATTTGTCCTTTGGTCGGTTATTAAAGCGTACGCGTCAATTCACTCTTCTATCCAGTTGAAATTTACGCTATTTGATTTCATTCAGTACTTTGAATCGTTCTGCAATGAACTTCTTTTTGAAGAAATATCACGATTGAACTGCGGAATTTATATGTACACCTATGGCGAAAATGTCTAAATAAAATGCAAAACCGCGAAAGCATCGGAAAAGAACTCAAAATATATAATGTTACATTACTTGCAATTTATTAAAAGTATTATAAATAGAAATATATTTTTATTTAAATACTGTTTTGTACAATTCTTTCAGAAAATTTTTAGAGTGCACAAAGATCCGGAATCCAGTGATAATATTTTGAGTTACCCAACTAATATTATTGATCAGACAATTATCAAAATTTACC